CTTCAAAATTAATACTACCATCTGATTTGTAAATTTTAATTTTTTAATTATGTAAAACTATCTTTATTTTATGTAATCTTATGCTTTTGGTATTTTAATTATGTATTAATGATTTAAATTTTGATCATTTTCAAGGTGTTCCTTAAGTTGGTGAACATGATGAGACAACATTTTATTACATTATTCAATATTTGTCCTCAAATTTTTGTTATTTTATATATTTTGTTAATTTATTTCCATATTTTCATTTAATTATATGTTTTAACTTATTTGTGCTTATATATATTAATTTGACTTATTTATGTATTTAGGTTGGTTTCTTGTTGCAAATGCTAGCATTTTTGGGTTCTTTTCATTTTTTTATATTTCTAGAAATATAATCACAATTTTAATTTCAAATTATAAAAGGATAATAAATTAAATAAATAAGAATTGTATGTTGATGATGTTAAAATTTAATTTTTTTCAATACCAAATTTTATTATAATATTTATCAATTAAATTAAAATTCGTTAAATAAATTTTTTTGTTAATCTCCATTTTTATTTTGGTCAAGGTGCTTGACCGAAATAGGATGATTAGAAGACCACGTATTCATGAATATTTCGGTTATTATAGTTGACTGAAATGTGTTATTAAAATAATATTTAAGTATTTTGGTCAAATATATTGATCGAATATAAGTGTTTTTTATTTATTTTTTCAACCTTATTTCGGCCAAACACCTTAACCGAAATGATTTTTATTTCGGTCAAGATAAAATTTTCTCCGAAATTGTATTTCGTACAGTGCATATTCGGTCCAATAATTTGGTCAAAATACTTAACCAAATTAATTGTTTTTTGGTCAATATTTGACTTTTTTCGGTCAATAATTTTTTACCGAAATTGTGCCTTTTTCTAGCAGTGATATAAGTCATATTATATTATCCATTGTATTTAAAACCATCATGCATCTATCATTTCTCAAAATATATTCTTATATTCAATTTCCTTCAAAGATATGCCCCCGTAAACACTTTAATTAGTATAATTTTTTTTTTCATCGGTAATTAGGATACATTAAATGATAGTGCCATTTAGCATTGACATTGATCAACTTGGATAAGAATTACAGGAGTTAGAAAGATTATTTTTTAGGATGCCATAGGTCAGCACTACTTACAACTTCAAGCCACATATTTTCACATAAAAAGTCGGTCGGATAAAATTTCAACTATTTTACTTTGAATTTTAACCAAGAAAGTTAAACTTTATTATCTTAATTTTGTATAAAACTATAATAACAAATAATAATAATAAAATTTTTCTTAAAAATTTCTAATACATAGTCTTTGGACTTTAAAAAATCATTAATAAATCACTACTAAAATCCTCACCTTCAGCAACATACTTCTATGTTGTTGAAAGTGGTTCCCATGTTGCTGAAAGAGCTAAAAGCTTTGTTGGAGAAGGCTTGGTGGGTAATACATTACCAACCAAAATTTTGTTGCTAATGTATCAACAACATGATCTACGTTGCTGAAAATATAGTATCAGCAACGTACCTTGTGTTACTGAAATGAGTCACCAGAATTCGGTGAGGGTGGGGGGTGAAATTTCTCACCCTCTTCAGCAACATAAGCCACATTATTGAAAATAAGGTTTCAGCAATGTGGCTCATGTTGCTAAAACTTAGTGGTAAACCAATGACAAAAAAAGGGAATCCAGCACTGGAATTCGACCTCATTTTCAACAACACAAGTCACGTTGCTGAAAATATATTTTCAGCAACGTGGCTTGTGTTGCTAAAACTTAGAGGGGG